AACTTTCAAAAAACTGCAGATGTGGCGCAGTTGCTCTATTGGAAAACCTCTGCATGGGTTCTATCCTAAAGAATGTACAAAATTGTCACTGGGGTGGTACCCTTTCAAAACGTAGTAATTTGTACACTCTAAGTACTTTAAAAAGTACTCTGTACCGTTCAGGGTAAAATTTCACTTTTGTACTTCAGGGTACTGCCACAGTGACAGCTTTGTACCCTTTTTCTGAGACGATGGATACAAGAAGAGCTATCATTTAATCATTCAATCTTTAAAAACTAGTGGCCATGCCATCTTTGAGAGATTTGGTATAAATGTAGAAGCCAGGTTGGGTCAGCAGCTGCAAAATCACACGATGAATCACACAAGGCCTCTGTATGTGATTCACAGCTGCCGAGGAAAGTAGATTTTTATAGCTGTTGTAATGATAGCAGAAGAGATAGGCTACAGCTGGCTGAATAGTGGAGAGAAAGGAGGGTCAAAAAAGAGCGATAGGAGGAGGAAAAGAAGGGAAAAAGTTGCTTAGACTGAGAATGTGAAAGAACAGATGTGTAACAGAGGTGAATTCTTTCCACATTAGTCAGTGTGAGTAACCGTAAACCAGCTCTCAGACAGAAGCTGCTGCAGAACGACACTCTCAGAGCAGTGTGACCTGCCTCATTCTTTCTTTCTGAACTTTCTAAACTGCTTATTTTAACTGCAAAAGGGAAGCTGGCCGGTGATGCTCAGTCTTTTGGATTAGCATAGTTGAGAATGACTGAGTCATGCTGCTTTCGCTGAGCTTTAGCAAGAAAGTGAGCTAAATGTCTCCTTTTCAATGCCCCTGGGTACTGTATGGTTTCAGACCATAGTTGGGCATGAATTGGCCAGTCTTGCTTCATCTGTAGAAATGCCAGAGGATTGAACATGTTAAGGTAAGATGAATTACCCTAAAATGTTGAAGGGTTACAGACTACGTGTATTGCAAACACAATAGCCAAGGCTACAAAGTTAACCTCTGTCCTGAACTTATTCACTTTCTGTTATTTGATTATGGCTGTTTTGCTCCATGAAAAGGCTCATACATAAAACTTAACTTTATGAAACTAAATTACAGAAGAAAAAACAGTCAGCAGTCATTACTCCAGTCATGAGTGTCACATAATCCACCAGAAATCATTCTAATATGCTGATTTGGGGCTCAAGAAACATTTATTATTATTATCACAGTTGAAAATGGTTGTGCTACTTAATATTTTTGTGGAAATCATGATACATTTTTGTTGAGCATTATCTGAAGATCAGAAGAACAACATTTAATTGAAATATGTATTTTTTTTTTGTAACAACGTAAAAGTCTTTACTGTCACTTTTGGACAATTTAATGCATTGTTACTGAATAAAAAACTGAGCACACCGTGGATCCCTTTTCCAACTCAGTGATTCTGTTTGTTTATTTATTTATTTCTGACATGTTAGTGTTATATCTTTCACTTGGGTGTTATAAATTGCACTGAGTGAATACAAAAACTCAGTGTACATCTTCATTTCAGGCTGCAGTGCAACAAAATGTGATTATTTTAAAGGGGGTGTGATTCTTTTCTATACCCACTGTAGACAAATTTGTCTCACTGCTTTTTTTTTTTTTAAAGGAAATAATAATAACTGTTTGTTCAACAATACAGTAGTACAACATTATGATGTATAACATTATAATATTATAGTACAACATTATGATAGAAATGGATGATGGAATTAACAACACTGCTGCATTAAAGTAAGTGCACTCAAGATATGAGGAGGTCACACCCATGCACAATGCACGTGGGGGTGCTTCAGTAGACACTATTTTATAACAACTAAACAATGCACCAAATAGACAACATAGCCTACTGTACAGTATCAATAGCCATAAACACCAGACTTCAGCTGCTACGAGCACATATGCATTATTTGTGCTAAATTAAGATAAAGAGAAGACATTCTAGCATATGCTGTCTTAACTATAAACAAATATTAAACACACCGTTTGACATACAACTAAAGAATAATGTATCGACGCGACGATGTGTTTTAAAATTACTCACGCTCATTTTGGCTTCCTTTGAGACCCAATGAAGTGAAACGAAGTGTCTGGGGGAGAAAGTTGCGTTGTGTGGAGGGCTTCTTATGTCAACTGCGGACTATAGAGGCTTCAGATGACCGATGTTTATTTCACCCAATTAGGTTTCTTTGCCTACTCTATCTCGACCAATCGCAAAAAGGCATGTGGGTTTACTATATGTAGTCTGTTTCTAGACATACCCTGGTAATACGCTATAAATACATCTGAATAATTAAAACAAACGACCATAACCACAATGAATGCTGGTGTACGTTCCGAACAGAACATAATTAATGTAATTATGCGCTTAGCCCATAACTAATCTACTTATTAAAACTTTATTGAAACAACTGGCTTCAGCTTTCAAGATGATTAAAAGCGTAATATAATTGACATGCTTATGAATTGGTTGAGAATTGTCACACGTTGTAAAATATATTGATCATGTATCGAAAATAAGTCATGATGAGTTGGAATCAGAGGTGATGTATTTGTGGTCTGTGTGCTGCAATACTCAGTATTTTGGAGCTGCTGACACGAGGGTGTGGCACTGCCAATTTGCGCTGCTTTGTGAAACTGACGAGCATTTTAACACGACAGTGTCGTTTGCTTGATCTAAACTGTACACACAAGCATTTCAACACATTAACAATTCGGTTTATTTATTTATTCCTACATTAGCTATGTCTTAGACTAACAACATTTTTTTTGCATAGGGCTCCAGGATGCCTTAGTCACAAGATATGACCGCAAACTCAGGAAATGGTTTAGAGAAGTGAGAAGCTCCGGGGATCACTAAAGGGCTATGAAATATGAAAGAAACAATGTCAGCATAATACAAAGTAAATTTTAGCCTACAGGAAATAGTTTAAAGGGGTCATATGATGCGATTTCAATTTTTCCTTTCTCTTTGGAGTGTTACAAGCTCTTGGTGCATAAAGAAGATCTGTAGAGTTGCAAAGACTAAAGTCTCAAATCCAAAGAGATATTATTTATAAAAGTTAAGAGTCAACCACGCCTACCTAAAACGGCTCGTTCTAGCACACCCTCACATGTCTATGTCACGATGTGGGAAGATTTGCATAACGCCGCCCAAATGTTCACGCAAAGAAAGAAGGTGTAACTTTTATTCTCACTGTAGTATTGTTGTTACTACAGGGTACCCTACTTAGGGTATGTCTATCGCGGCCATGTTGTGGAGATGCCGTGTGTTTCGTTGTGAAAGCGAAACTACTTTGTTTGGCCTTCCAAAAGAGGATGATATCCGCTTCGTCATGCCTAGAGCTGATCCGTGCTGGTCGCTGAGGAAATACATCAACTTCACGCTGTGAATCGCCGGATCGGCTTTCACCGTGGACAAAGCGGAGTCCAGCCCGGGGTCGTTACATGTGGTTGCCGCAAGCCCGCCCACAGCACTCACTCAAGCCGGCCTCCGCTCACTCAAGCCTGCCGCCCGTTCCTCACTCTAGGTCGCCGGCCGCCGCTCACTCTAACCCGCCGTGTGTGACGCTGTGTGTTTCGTTGTGAAAGCGAAACTACTTTGTTTGGCCTTCCAAAAGAGGACACAACTAGAAATCAGTGGTTAAGTTGTATTTACACTTACTTTTTTATATTTAAAGAATATGCCACTGATGATTCAAACGCGAGTTTTGAGCAGTGTACGGTAGTGCTTGTTGTTTGTCTTTTCTCCAGACATGGTTTTATGTTTACGCAGCGTGATACGCAACCCGACGCGTAAAAGACAGTATAAATCAGTATAAATCAGTAATTATGTCCCGACTGGATGCAAGAAATGCCTCGTTTGTAATGGGTTTTATTGTTTTTTTTCTTGTCGCGCCGGGACACAGGGCCTCACAGTATAGTAAGGGGCGTAACATTTCCGTCACACGCTTGAGGTATTCGGCCAATCACAACGCACTGGATAGCTGGCCAATCGGCATACACCTCGCTTTTCAGACCGATGAGCTTTGTAAAAATCGACGCGTTTCAGAAAGGCGGGGCATAGAGGAGCAACAAAAATGTACATTATGTGGAAAATAATGTGGTTTTTTTAACCTTAAACCACATAAACACATTGCATTACACCAAATACACAACATAATGTTCTTTTTAGCAACGTCATATGACCCCTTTAATCTGTTTTTAAACAGTGGCTTGCATATGCACTTTTTTCACACAGACCGAAATTTCTGATTAACTGGTCCAAGTCCAAAACAGGACTTTAGGATCTCGGTTTTGTCATCTGAGAAAATACGGTATTTATATACAGTTACGCACAGGCAATAAAATATTTTGGCAGCAGCAACCTCAAGTAGTAGCTGCACGACCATCTTCCTTATCATTACCATCATGATCATCATCAAGATGCTCAGCCAGGAGGAGAGCAGTCTCTCTGTGTCCTGCAATCTTCCAAACTATGGCTATGCCAAGCCCCGTCCAAAGGGCGCCGCCATGGGTTTCAGGGGCCCCAGGACGTTTTTACCTCGGCCCCGTTAAAATTGCGTATGAAATGCATAGTTAATATGACAGGGGGCAGCTGCATAAATTAGCCTCTATGTCTGTCTAACTAGCAGTTAACCAAATTATAATAAATCTTACCTTTCGGATTCAAATTAGAACAATCTATGTTTTGAAAACTTATGACCAGTCTTGTAAAAAAAATAAAAATAGATGACTAACTTAAAGTATAAGCACAGATGTTGAAAATGTTCTAATATTTAGACATCATGGAAGTATTTTTCTTTAAGTTAAATAGGTTAAGGAACATCTACTTGCTGAGATTCTTGTGGGCGGGGCTTTTAGTCTTGCAAGCCAGTAAAGTCGCACAGCCATATGATTTGACGCTGATGCACAGCCACCCCGGCAGGTGGCGCTGCAACCACAACATGTGGACTGACACTCACGAAGAAATTCACTATGGAATTCACATATGCATCTTCCGTAGTCTCTAGAAATAACAGCAGCAAGCAGACTTGTATGAATTGTACACATCCAATGACAGTTAAAGAAGGGGAAGGAATGGGCCACCATACAAGAAAAGACGTTCTACACACCTTTCAAATGAACTTCTTCGCTATGAGTCTTTTGAATACATTTCCATGGGATGTAAGTAAAACATTGCAACATGCCCTTAATGCATTAAGAAATTACATATGAGCTGCGTTTTTTCACCCTTTCTTTATTTGTTATTTGGTTTTCCAAAATGTAAAATGACAGTTGTAATGTTAGTATGTTTTGTCTGTATCAAAAAATAAACTGTAAAAAAACCCTGAAAATAAAACTATTACAAAAAGAAAGAAATGACTTCAGAATTGTTTTATGTCTTCTTTACTTCCATTAATAACGCAAAATGTTTTTGCAGTCTTTAGACAGAGAAATTAGGACTACAACAACTTCGGATATCATAGTGGACATTCTTCAGAAGGTAAACAAGCTGTTATGAAAGTGAAATAATTATTTAATTGATAAAATGAAAGTAATTTTCCACCCAATTTTTCTTTATTTTTTGGCAGACATGTTTACATCCCATTTGTCTCAAGAATCCCCCCTATTTGAAATACAGAAGACGTTTCCTAACTGAATTGTTAAAAAGGGTTGGTTTAGTTTCTTTACAATCATATACAATCAGTTTTATAAATTTTTTCCCCCACATATTTTGAGATCCTGCTTATTTTCATAAGACTCATTTTTTGTAGCACGAGATGTTTGCGGCTGAACCTCTGGATGTACTGTATGAAGCGCTCGGTGAGGTCATGTGTGCACAGGAGGAGGACATGTGCTACAAAACCTACTTACTGGTGAGTCTGATCACATTAGCACTGGACCTTAAAGACATTTATACATTTTAACAAAATACAGTATAAAATCTCAGCCAACAGGAGATGCTGTTAGTCTAGCAGAGAATGTGGCCCTCATCTCTGAAGGCACCACAGGTCTGGTTACCTGGGAGGCTGCCCTATACCTGTCTGAATGGGCGTTGGAAAATACATACATCTTCAAAAACAAGTAATTCTGACACTTCACAACTCTGTGCCATTTTAGTTGTGATTGTTGTTTATTTTCTAATCTGACATTTTTTAAACCTGGAAGTTTTGCCTGGTCTTTTGAACATTCTATTCACCAAAAAAATCTTGAAAAAAATTATCAAGGTTTCCACATAAATATTAAGCAGCTCTGCTGTTTTCAATATTGATTATAAATTTGTCTTGAGCAGCAAATCAGCATATCAAAATGATTTCTAATGGATCTTGTGACAATGAAGACCAAAGAAATGGCTAAAAAAATTCAGCTTCGCACCACAGGAATAAATTACATTTTAAAATAAATCAAAACAGAAATGTTATTTAAAATAATGTAATAATATTTCACAATATTATTGTGTTACTGTATTTATGAACAAATAAATGCAGCCTTGGTGAACATAAAAAAAGAGACTTAGAATAGTATGAGAAACATTCAAAGAACTACTGCAGCTACTTATAGAAAAACTAATTGAAATGACTATGTAGTTAATTGTTTGAATTATTCTATTAGCATGCAACTATAAGTGCATACTGTTGATCACCCCTGTGCTGTACATGCAGGACGGTTCTAGAGCTGGGTAGCGGAATTGGACTTACCGGCATTGTAGTGTGTCGGTCATCCAGCCTAACCAAATACATCTTCAGTGACTGCCATCAAACTGTGCTTCAGAGGCTGAAGGACAATATCACAAACTGCTTAACTAACTGTGACAGCAACAGTGCATCAGTGTGCGTAGAGGAGCTGGACTGGGAAAATGTGTCTGATGAACAGCTGCAAAGAATACAGGCCAGCACCATCATTGCCGCAGGTGACACAAAACCCAGGGATATTTGCAGGAACACACACATTATAGTTTCATATGTGATTTATTTTCATTCAGTGATTAAAAGGTCTCTGAATCAAGTCTAATCAAATGAAATTATGATGTTTGAAAAGTTTTGAGTAACATTACTGTGTTTGTTTGAAACAGATGTGGTGTATGATCCTGATATAATTGCTTGTTTGGTGAGACTGCTGAGCAGGCTTCTGAACTGCAAAGTTCAAGAAGAACATCCTGATGTTTACATTGCATCTACTGTACGTAACCCACAGACGTATGACTGCTTCAAGAAAGAATTGGGTAGGTTTCATATTATTAATAATATTCTATTCTGTTACACTGTCGATGTAAAATGTTTTCATAATTCCTGATTCTCCATAATGCATAAAATGTTTCTTTAATTTACAGAAATGGCTGGACTGAGACATGTCGTTATAAAAGATTCTGTTCCTCAAGTATTTCCATACAACCGAGCCTCCACTATAGAAATGATCAAAATATATGCATGACAGAAACTATCTCTTTGTAGTAAAAGTATTTATTTACATAATATTTACAAGGATAGTGTGCTTTTTATTCTCATATTCAAGTCTTTCCCAATTGCATTGCTGGAATGCTGATTGTCCCGTTGTGGGGACAGTTAGCTTAAAATTGTGTACCCTGTGCAAATACCTGACAGTAACTTTCCATTGAATGGGAGTCAAAGGATTTGAGAGAACGTTAGATAAACCCATCACCTAGACAGTCAGTCGCAGTGCTCTTTAATAAGTGGCAGGACGTTATGGTCCCAGTTCTTATCCCAGCGCTGCTGCCCGCTTTCCCTTAGATTCTTCCTGAAGATGCCCAGTTTCCCCTGATCACTAGGGAAGTCTGAAAGCAGAAGCTACAGAGATAACAGAATTAGTTGTAAGCATTTGCCACGTTTATATTAGCAAGATCATGTAATATTGAAACGACGAGCCTTACACTGTAAGCTAATGAGTTGGTTTATCTGTGTTTTAATATGCCTATGATCATAGAGTTTTTAGATGGATGCTGAGGCTTTTTAGGTCCGTTAGAATCTGCAATCTCTGACCCAGTTCGTTTGCTGCAATACGCTGAGTTTTCTGCCAACTGGCAACCCGAGGTGTCGAAACATTATTGGGTAAACTGGCAGTGGGTAGAATCACACAGACCAAAACAAAAACAGACATTTCGACACGGAACACACATTTCAAAAGTCGAATAACTGGCTGTAGGACTGTTTCTTGGAGGAACAATTGTGAACTTAGTTAATAATTAGAAATCTCCAAACTTTTTTTCTCAAATATGGCCATTTTGAGAGAGATATGAAAGTTGCGTGAGTGAATTATGTGCGTCTGTGCAGCTCTAATGCACACCAGTATTCATACAGACCATGGTGTGTGTGTGTTGTAGCAGCTAGCAACGACGTATGATGACATGTAATGGTGTAGTAGTGGTGTCCCATTTCTTAGGGGAATAATTTCAGCCCTACCCCTTGACACTCTGTTTCAAGATGAAGGGGTATGAAATAGAATTGGGATTGGGCCTTAACATGTTTCCTAAATATATGCAAACATATTATGGTATTTTAATGCTTTAGTACGGTCAAAAAAGTTAGATACAACACCTTTAAGAAAAAAAATCTTGGTTTTGAATCTTGAGTCATATAGAGCAGTTTTTTAATCAATAGATGCCTTACCTTTAACTGTTCAGACAGCTCCTTGGAGTCTTTGAAAATGAGCCCATTTTCCTCATGTTTCACCAGCTCGTGCAAGCTAACAAGATACAAATAATGAGCAGATGACACCTTACATAACCCACACCTACTATAAAAGACCAGTCTCACAATCTTACCACTGAAAGTGTATGGCACAGACTGGCAGACAACAACCAAACATGTCGACCACTTTCATTGGAAGGTCAAGACCACTGGAGGATTTGTGCAAGCAGACCCCAAGATCAGCAGAACCTGTGCCAAAACATCATACTCATGTAAATACGTGTGTTTTAGGTCAAGACACTCAGCAATTCCTGGTCTATTAAGTTTATAATACTGTTAAAGAGATCCTCTCACCAAGTAAAACTGGATAATCCTCTGCTTCCAGCCATGGAGTGCAAATCTTGATATGATGAAATTCTTTAGAGTCAATCAGCTTCTTGTAATACTCCTTCTGAGGACCCTTACCTATATTGATAAATCACAGTGTTTGAAACACACAAACAGAGGCATTGGTCCACAGCTGATTTTATGGACATTTATACATATTAGACATTGTGGCGTGTACCTGTAATCACACAAACCAATGATGGAAGTTTGTGTCCTGCCTCTACAAACTTCTCATACTCTATTGGATAAAAAAAGAATCAAATGTTGAAGATTACATGGTCTAGTAAGTTTCAATACATAAATATACAACTGTAAATTACAGAAAAGGTTGTGGTACACTACAGTTCAAAAGTGTGAGGTTGGTAAGATTAAAAAATATATATATATAAAGTTTGTTTTTATTAAAAATGTAGTAAAAAGTAATATTGTGAAATATATTAAAATTTAAAATAACTTTTCTACTGTAATATATTTAAGATGACATTAATTCCTGTGGTGGCAAAGTGGAATTTTCAGCATCATTACTCCAGTCTTCAGTGTCACATGATCCTTCAAAAATCATTATAATATGATTATCAATGTTGAAAACGGCTGTTCTGCTTAATATTTTTGTGGAAACTTTGATATACTTTTCAAAGGAATCTTAGATGAATAGAAAGTTCAAAAGAAAAAAAATGATACAAAAAAAACATTCGCCGAATACCTCAAGCGTGTGTCGGAAATGTTACGCCCCTTACCATACTGTTGATGCTGTGTCCGGCTGGAGCGATGAGACAAAAACATGAAAACCCATTACAAACTAGGCATTTGTTGCATCCACATAGTGACGTAGATATGTGGGGGCATGTTAGAACGAGCCGTTTTAGGTAGGCGTGGTTAACTCTTAACTTTTATAAAGAATATCTCTTTGAATTTGAGACTTTAGTCTTTGCAACTTTACAGATCTTCTTTAAGAGCTTAGAGCTTGTAACACTCCAAAGAGAAAGGAAAAATTGAAATCGCATCATATGACCCCTTTAATTTTTTTTTACTAAATATATTTTGTCACTTTTGATCAATTTAATGCGTCTTTGCTGAATATATGTATTTAAATAAAAAATAAAAAAAATCTTACTGACCCCAAAAAACACAATACAGTAGTGTATATGGAGAGAAATAATAATAATAATAACCTTCAAGAGCTTGTAAAAGAACTGAGAAGTCTTCATCCTCTGAACATAAAAACATAAATAATGAAGAGTTAGGACATTTCAGTTAAAGGAATGAAGGATAATATCCCTATATCTCAGTGTAGACAGCACTGACCAGTCCAGCTGGTGCTGCTGATAAGCAGAGCAGGACGTCCAGCAGAGCGCGTCACAGCACCTGTCTGAGTACTGTGCTCTGTGAAGGCTGTCAGTTCCATGTACTCCTTAGTGACATCAGGACTAAGAGATTATAAAGAGGAATGTGTGAAACATTTATAAAATGCCAAAGACTAAGTTGCGAGAGGATATTATCCTTTTCAGAAAACGTTTATACTACTATATGTGTAACCGCAAGGAATGGGAGCAAATGGTTCTACATGAAAATACTTACCTAGGCCTAAATGGTAAGTAAGTACTGCCCATTCTGATAAACAGCTCATGTTGAAGTTTCAGAGGCGTTTCTCTAAATATCGGGGGTGGCTTGTCATATAATGTGGTTGCCCTACAATTGCAAAATTGATTAACTGGCTTGTCTTAAAAGTAAACTGTTTTACTAATATTATTATTAGTCATTAATTAAATGTTTATTTAATAATAATAATAATAAATGTAAATAAAGTATTATCTGATTCTAAATGAACACTAAACATACTCAATATTCCAGTTTTTCCGAAGATCTTCTCTCATTGCCTTAGTGACACATAAGTTATTATCCGAGAAACGTCCAAAGAGCTTCTCGTACCTGCCAACAACACAATGCACAGTTCAGACTATTCCCAAACACGGCTCAAAACACACTGTGTCATACCAGGATACTTACCATTTTGCCAACGTAACAATGAAATGATTCTCCCCATGAGTGAGAGCCATTATGGTGTATCCATAGTTGTGCCAGTCTATGATGAACTGGTTTCCCCTGAAACGACTTGCTGCCCATGCCACTGCTATAGCTGGCAGTCCAGGAGGATTCTACAGAATGCACACGTGACTTAGAGTTTCACTTGAAGACATAATAACATATAAAAATGACTTCATACTTTGCTTCATACAAAAAAACAGATACCTGCATAAGGATATAGCTTTGGTCCTCAATCTTTATCAACACATAGAACAGATGGAAAGACTGGAACATCACCTTTGAAGCATACCTGAAAATTCTGGGGCCAACTGAAAGGCAAAATGCAGTTCACATTCTTTATATCAGAATGACTGAGCATGGACTTTTGTGCTTTTATGCTTTCTTTCTGTGTATACGTTTATATTACCTGTAAGCCCCTTTAGTTCTGAAATGGGAAGTATGTCTATCCTGTCATCCTCAATAATGTCTTGATGAGGTTTAGTACCTATGTGAGCAACATGCCAGTGTTAGAGGTGCTAAAAATCAGCCCTGTGACCTGTATATGTAATGCATATCGAAGTGATTTAGTTTATCAGCACGCCTTGCATTCAAACATGGGGGAACATTCGACATCATGCATAAAATCAAATAGTGATGCAATATGAAGTGCATGCGTTAAAATGTATATACCAAGGAAGCCAATTAGGGTGACATTGTATCCGTGTCTGCTGAGAGAGAGCGCATGATACTGCATGCGAGGACTGCGCCCTATATCTCCCAGCACCAACACGCAAACGTTCAAATGTGCAAGTTCATCTCGTCCCTTTAATCCACTGGCTAGTACAAAAATAAGCACAACTACAGCGACTGGTAGAAGAGCCCACGATAAGCTTAACCCCGACACAAGTCCTAAAAGAACCAATGAAACTGTCACTACAGCTACTGCCGCATTGGCATCCGCCATTGTGTTTTCCTGATTATGACGTGACTGCCGCTGGCTGAATGTAGGGCAGGAAATTTAAAGAGACACGAACCACTGGCGAATAAGAACACCTAATTATAATCACCGTACATTAATGTTTTTGAATCAAAAGCATGTCAGTCGTACATTTTTAAATAATTTTGATGTAAATAATTTCAGATATTTTCATCGTCAATAGAGAAAGATGCTATTAGCAGCCAGATGATGCAGTTACAATACAAGATTTTAGTTAACTTTTTAAAAAGAAAGAAAGAAACCTGGAAATGATTAAAAAGACCAAGGAATGAGGAGAAATCCCACTCAGCAATAATATTCAAACTATGTGGTACCACAGGGTTTACTTCAGCGGACCTGAGCCACGTGATGGGTTTGCTATGACAAACTGCTTCCCCTCCGAAATAAGGAAAAAGCTGCTGGATAGACCACTCGTCCATAACCATTTTCCCTGTTCATTTTGTATTCGTAAAGGTCTTAAAATGTGGTATCATTTCCTTGTGTTTCTTGTTCTCTCGTCTACAACTGATTTATCAAACCAGGATGTGATTGATAACATACTTATGAGTTTATCCAAGGGAATCACATACTTTGACGTGCAGGGCAGAAACATCAACCTGGACGGTGTTGTTGGATACCGAATACTTCAAGGTAAGCCATCATTTTACAGATTGGACATGTTTTTTTTTTTTAATCACTTTGATTACTCGATTGTCTGAGTGCCACTTTACGTTTAAATTATGAACATTGGTTCAACTTTATAAAGATCATAAGATCATATTTTTTCTCTGGTCTAGCTTTTCAAGAGTCGTTCGTTGCAATGGACCTACATTGGACTCGGCTGTAAAATCGAGCACTGTATAGCCTTTTTAATGCAATTTCTGTCAGTATTTTTCTTAACTTTTGGCGCCGGTTAACTAACATCATTTACCTTAAAGACGTTGATTATATTGGTTATATGTAAATGCAGTAAAGGAAATTAACTGTCACATAATGAACTGCAAGCGCTCGAGCAAGCGGCGCTGCGCACTGTTTCTATAGTTACTGCATCAGTTCAACGCGTCTGATTCCGTTCATATTTAGCGCACTCCGGCAGAAGAACTTGTCATGTAACTTTTCTGGTTGCTACAAAGTTGTTTGAAAACGTTTAAAGTTAAGTTTAAGCAAACAAATGTATTAAAAAGAAAGCATTGTTTGGACCCCAGCGTTTTCCTTTTGGAGGGTTAAACACTTAATTTAGGGGCTCAAAACCCCCCAAAATCCACTGAGCTGAACATCTGAAGTAAACCGTCCATCAATGATTCCCCATTCTTCTTCTTTCTGCTTATATAACTCAGCGCAGCTGCAGGAGGCAACACGAACTTGGCCTCATTCAGATTTTCTGAGTCTCTCTCAGCGCGCAGCTGCCGTTTCTATGCTGAAGAGACTGAACAAGAGCCTTTCTACTGCCGTCAGCGCTCTTCAGGAGTCAGACCCCAAATACTTCAAAGGTAATGCTCTTTGGGGGAAATATATATATTCGAAACCATCTAATAATGGCACAGAAAGCATGCACTGTTTCTCCTACAGAGTTTGAGCCCATTTTGGACAGCTCCTTTTGGTCCCTGCCTGCAGAATGGAGCTCCACCGATCCCTCACTTCTTTATACCTCAGTGAGGTCTATGGAGTGCTATGATGAGCAGTTGAGTGACAAGTGCATGACTCTCCTTCTAGGAACATGGTAAGAAGATTGTAGCATAAAAGAAAAAAACAGCATCAAAAAGTTGTAAAAATCACAGTCAATACCGTAACTGTTATTTTATTGAAAGGAAAGACAATGGAACCCCATGTATTGTGACGAAGTCTTGTAGAGACACGATGACACAGTTTGGATGTCCACACTATTCCCTGTCCCACCAGCTACTGTACTTCATGATAGGAATGATGGTAAGGCATCCCTTTAATCTTTACTGTAGTATTAGCCAAAGATTGTTTACCTTTTGTTAAGAAGAGAAATTATCATACTTTTCTGATGCACCCTGAAATAAATCTGTGTGGTTTCAGTCTGACACTTGTGTCCACAGAAAGGGTGCTCCAGAATGCTCAAGGGGGACCTGAGATTGTCTCGTGTCAACATAACTGTGGAACATTATAAGAGAATCTTCTGCTCCAACATGATGAAAAGCAACCAGGATATTTTCAAGAATGCTATTACTGGCCAAATGCAGGACATCTTTATAGAGAACAGTTAGTAGAAGCAATAGGGTTATGAACAAATTATTGGAGTAACATTTGGTCACATCTTATAGATAAGATCCACTTACTGTATGTTTTTTTTTTTTCAACTAAATTATTTATTTTGCAGTCCTTTTATGTGGTTTAGTGGGATTCTCAGACTTCTATAAATTGGACTGGTTACAGTCTATTCTAACATGGCAAGACCAAGAAGCAGGCTGTTTTGGCAAAGAAGGTAAGTTAAAAGCATTTTAAATATATGTAAAATCGTGTCCTAATGTTTAACGACTGGATATTAAACAAAATCTTTAAGCCATACAGGTGTAGATCAAACTCTATGTTGCATATTGTTTTCCCCACTCAGAGGATATCTCCCAGATCTTTGAAGAATTCTTGGATGCCCCCCACAAACGGTTGAAAAGAAGAGAAAAGACACTCACAGGTGTTTGTTTGCTCTTAAAACAATAGTTCACCCAAAAATGAAAATTTGCTGAAAAGTTACTCACCCTCAAGTCATCCATGTAGAGTTTGTTTCTTTAGAAATTCAGCATCACTTGCTCACCAATGGATCCTCTGCAGTGAATGGGTGCCGTCAGAATGAGAGTCCAAACAGCTGATAAAAACACAATCCACAAGTAATCAACACAACTCCAGTCCATCAATTAACATCGTGTGTTTGTAATAAACAAATTCATCAAGACATCTTTAACTTCAAAAAAGTCGTCTCATCTGAATCAGGAGAGAAATATGCACAGATCAAACACTGTTAAACGAAAACTGTCCAAACTATCAAAAACTGTTATTTTTATCAGCTGTTTGGACTCTCATTCTGACGGCACCCATTCACTGCATAGAATCCATTGGTGAGCAAGTGACGTAACGCTACATTTCTCCAAATGCTTTCCGATGAAGAAACAAACTCATCTACATTTTGGATTGTCTGAGGGTGAGTACATTTTAAGTAAATTTTAATTTGTAGGTGAACCATTCCTTTAATGTTGCAGTTGCTGGAAAAAAAAAAAGAATTATTATTTAATTAATGTCACATGATTATGTGTTTCAAACTAACACATGTTTCTTTTCATAGATGGCTGCTCAAGTCATATGACAGGAGTTGCAGTGAGTGCATTAGGAGGTTTTCTCAACTATTACCTTTCAGAGCAGGACATAACGAAGAGACCTTTAATTTAAGGGCCATGCTTCATGAGATAATAGTTACAGAACTCAATTTCCTTCTTTATCAGGTTTTATAGATACATTTGGGATTTATTATTTCCTCTATGATCAGTTCTCTGTGAATGTGTGGTAGATTTAATGCTATGTAGGTAAAACAACATGATTCAAAGAAAGGCAAAGAGAAAGGCAAATTTTCTTCTAAAAAAACAAGAAAATGTATACTTTGTATCAAATAAAGAAAATGTACAGTATTATGATACATTTCTTATTCTGAGGAAAAATAACCAAACTGTACAATTTTAATGATAATGAACTGTGCATAAAAGGTTAAATATAGGCATATGCTATTATTTTAATGCAAACACAGGTTAGTTTAAATAAATAAAATGCCCTTTGTTGGTGAATATTTCAGCTATATTTAAGCTTTCATGTTTGGAGGGAGTGGACCCCTGTGGGTTCATTATTACAGCGAATGCATGCTTAAAAATTCATGTTTGACTTCCGTCCAGAAACAGCATGATCTCTCCAAAGCTGCTTAGAAAGTAGCCATGTTGAGATGTCTTATTAGTCATTCCACCATCCAGCCATGAAATCTTTTAGGCTTTAAAACGCCAGTCAGAAAACTGTGGTCTGTAATGAATATTTGCCCAATATCTTGTTCTAATATAGTTATAGGATGTTTAATGTCTACTCATTCCATCCTGTGACTTCACAGAAGACAGCTTTTATCAGGCGTGATTCATACGTGACGGTGTTCTTGCCAATGTGCATGCGGTCCTCCTCCAGAGGCTGCTCTATGATGGCAGGCACATCTTTTCCGTACACTAGAGGGGAGGGTAAAAAAAAGTAATTAATCCCATGGAGAATCTCAGGATTGAAAATTAATTAGCATCTCAGCTTTCAAAAACCAGCATTTCATCCCCACTGAATTAAACAATCAAAACAACAAGTAATCACTGGATTAGATTTTGATACTGTGCATATTACTGGAGGATTAAAGCTCTGCATTGACACAGTCCTGCTACATATGAAACAGGATTTTATCCTTCTATCTGTGGGATCAAACCATCTCTTTACAAGATATACTTACATTCACAGTGCTCAAGGAACTGAATGCACTCTTGTACCACTGAATCCTTGAGCATGATCATGTGCTTGGCCATGTTTTCCAGCAGTGAGAGAAAACATCTCTTAGCGTAGAACCACGTGTCTGTTCCAAGCTGAAATCATAGGATGTCAGTGTCATATCAAGCACAATAACGACATAATATCACATGGAAATCACATCAGTAAAACCAGTAAACATCAGCTGAACTTGAGACTAAAAGGAAATGCAGTAGCAATCCAATGCTGTACATACAGTATGCTACAGTATCATGACATCAAGAATGCTGAGGTCCTTGAGTAACACTGTTTATGCAGCTGGAAACAGCAAAACCTCTTCAGTGGATATTTGTGGATACACAAAAATAACATGTTGAGGATGGTAACCGAGCAGGACTAAGATAAATACAGCAAGTAAGGAATATGAAAGTTTATGTGCTGTCTGAACTCAACTAAATTAAAAACATTAAATGAAATATTGACTACCTTTTTGTTGTATGGCTCAAGACTCTTTATGACACGAGAAATGCCAAAGTCATAGTTCCCTTTAGCACAATACAAAGTCCTGTAAGAAATTAGGTGTTTTAAGTATGACACGTAATTCACATTGAGAATAGATGTCTTTAAAATGAAAGGCACGGATGATCTAATTTTTTTTTGGCACACATACTGTTTAAAGGTTTAGGGACTGTAAGATTTTCGAAAAGTTTTATCAAAGAAAAAGACACTTTTTTTTCTCAATGTTTTTAAAATAAGTCTCCTATGCTCACCAAGGCTTAATATATTTGATAAAAAATACAGTAAAATAGTAATAGTGTGAAATATCAACACAATTTAAAATAACTTTTTTTATTTTAATATACTTTAAAATGCAATTTATTCCATGCAAAGCTGAATTTTCAGCAGTCATTACTCCAGTCTTCAGTTTCACATAATTCTTCAGAAATCATTCTAATATGCTGATTTGGTGCTCAAGAAACATTTCTTATTATTATCATTGTTGAACAGTTGTGCTGCTTAATATTTTTGTGTAAACTGATAATTTTCGATTTAAAAAAATCATACTGACCCCAAACTTTTGAATGTTTTTAATATACACAGACTGCTTTCACAATGTCATCTTGTATTATTATGATATTTCAGATGTATTATTTGTGCGATATTTCAAAATGTAAAAGAAAAGTGAAAACAGTATCTGTAAAATCTGTATAAGATAAATGTTCATGAAGGTTGTTCTTAAGTGTTGATTTAGCATTTAGCATGGAATTATGTAAAAATATTTAACGTACCCTATTACAAGGTTGACAATACACAGATGAAAGATTTTTTTGTCTGGATCATCATATGAGATTTGCTCCTCTTCTTTCTCTATCTTCCTCATCAGTTCCTCTGCCTGTACAGACACAGAAACGAAAGGGTAAAAAAAAAAAAAAAAACGGAAAGAAAAATATGATGAAACAAAGCTGCTCCAATGATATCAATTATAGTTAAATAAGATTTAAATTTTTACCTCTTCATTTTGGCTGGTCATTATGTATGACACGCACAGGTTAGCAAGAACAATCGCACTGACGTTAAGGATCTACAGGACAAAATGTGACTTAATTAATTGCGAGGATGCTAAAACTAGGACACTTTTCAAAATAAAAAATAAAAAAATCAAACATCATGCCGCAAATTCCATGCAGTCACACAGGAAGACTCCAAGAGTCACAGATAATTTTACCGAGGGTTTTGTTTTGCAGGGACATTCTTGAATGTTACACTGTTCCAGCTAGCAAGCAGAGGAGCAAAGAACATGTTTTAATTTGAAAGGTTTAGATTTGTTATATAATTGTCTGCCAAGTACTGCCAAATGTCAGCCACCATCACAGAAGACAAATAAAATATTATTTATACATATTATATATACATATATATATTATAAAATGAAGTCAATTGTATATAAAAATATGAACAAAACAAGTAAAAAACAAAAAAAATGTAATGAAAATGTAATGGTTTTGCAATGGTAAAAAGACCTTCATTACAGGCAGGCTTCCTCTCCTTCAGGAAACCAGACAGTAATTTTAAAGCTCTATTCTGCAGTTGTGCATGCATAAGTTATTTTACACCCTAATATCCATGGGTCAAAGATAAATTACATATATGTATACTACATATATTTACTGTTTTTAACAAACACATCTGCATCCCACTGTTTATCCACAATTTAGGTTATTGTTATCCATTTTAAAATTTGATTATTCGTAAACTCTACTAAGCACTGAGGATTGTCATTTGTATTTCATACGTTATTCTTATTTTCATTTAAACGTGGACTTGGCTTTCATTAAAGGCACTGGTCTTTAAAGGGGCTCAAAATACATTACAATACAAGCGGCCAGAAAAGCACATTCAGTAACATTAAACTTACATTCTCATAATGCTTCTTAACGATGGGCTCATAGAAGCCAATGGCTTCTTTATATTTGTTGTCTTGCATGAAGAGCACATGAGCAACATTAAGTTTCCAAGTGTCGTGCTCATTGCAGAACTCCAGTGACTTATGGAAGATCTTTTCCACCATGCTGTAGTTCTCACGGTTCCAGTAGATTTTGGCCTGTGCCATTAGTACAGGGATGTACCTTAAAAAAAGTTCAAGAAAATGCACTCAAAAGAATTTATATATGGTGAACATGTTACATGCGTTTACAAAAATGAAGTACAGAACAGAAATTTAAGGATGAATCTTTAGTAATCACCTCTTTTGTAAGTCACTTTATACAAAGCGTCTACTTAATGCATAAATGTAATCAAATGTAACTGAATGTTAAATTTACCTCTCAAGAACTTCGTCATAGTCTTGGACATATTTTTTTAGGGATTCATCATCCTGGTTGTGCCTTGCTTCCTGCACCTTCGAGAAAAGAGGTTTTAGAATTTCTAAATTCTAATTAGCCATTTCAGTGTCAGACATATTGATATCATAAGGGTGTATTCAAGGAGTAATATTTGACACAAGTAGACACATAAATGCTGTGAATTGTTGAAAGACAAAATGCAAAGCTGTAACCTGTTTCGTAACGTTGCGTAGTTGCTCAGTAAGTTTTCCAGCAATTTCGTCAAATTTTCGGAAAGCCTGCGTCAGATGAAAAGTCAATTAATTCAAAAACAAATGCTCACTAGATACTTGCCAAGACTCTGCAAAAGATCACTTACTTCCTCAGGTGCTGTCTGACATGTGATAATGGCATCCAGGAACTCATAGAGGTACTATAAACAGGAGAACAAAACATTAGCCCTACCGTCTTGATGTGAGTTCGGACAGATATGTCAATATGCATGAGGCAACTATGCAATTATCATCTGGTGTGTTATTACTTGCACATGCCTTATGGCCAGGGGAATCAATCAATGTGGACGTTATTATTGGAACGACTATCTGGGCTAATAAAAAGTGGAGACTTGTATATACATGATTTAATTTTTATAAAACTAATAGTGCAAATACAACGAGGCTGATGAGAAATAAAACATGAAATTGCTACAAAATAATTCTGCCTTACCGGTGTGAGAAACTTGTAAGTGAGATGAGCATTTTCCGCCAAGACATCTGCAGCGAGGTCAAAGTACTATAGACAACAAAAGCAACAACAAAACCCTCATACACCTCTTAAAGAAAAATTTAAAAGTTTCTATAAAAGCTAAAGTGCATAATTTATATGCTACTACCAAACAGTTTCCTGAACACTAAGAACTGTTATCAATGAAGCACACTAAACTCATATTTACAGTAAAGCAATAGTAAGTTGCCAAAAGTGACAGGAGGAAAGGGGTTTTGCTGAAGGAGAAAAGCAAGTTTCTCAAAACCCTCTGTGGGCTTGGTGTCCATGTTCATTAGGGCCTGGTTGTGAAGAGTGACTGGATCCAGCTCCTAAATGTAAAAAAAAAAAAGAGAGAGACACTTACAATGGACATAATCATTAACTCTTTGGTTGATAGACTTTAAACGATCATTATATGGGCCAACTTCCAAATGTAAAAGCATTTCTTACACATAGAAAGAGAGTGAGGGAGCAAAATACGCTAATTAACAAATTATTGACTAATTAACTAAAAACTATCAAATGTATACATGGTAAATAATTTCAGCTCTACATTCTGTTCCACTAGAGACCTAATCTTTAGTAATCACCTCTTTTGTAAGTCACTTTATACAAAGCGTCTACTTAATGCATAAATGTAATCAAATGTAACTGAATGTTAAATTTACCTCTCAAGAACTTCGTCATAGTCTTGGACATATTTTTTTAGGGATTCATCATCCTGGTTGTGCCTTGCTTCCTGCACCTTCGAGAAAAGAGGTTTTAGAATTTCTAAATTCTAATTAGCCATTTCAGTGTCAGACATATTGATATCATAAGGGTGTATTCAAGGAGTAATATTTGACACAAGTAGACACATAAATGCTGTGAATTGTTGAAAGACAAAATGCAAAGCTGTAACCTGTTTCGTAACGTTGCGTAGTTGCTCAGTAAGTTTTCCAGCAATTTCGTCAAATTTTCGGAAAGCCTGCGTCAGATGAAAAGTCAATTAATTCAAAAACAAATGCTCACTAGATACTTGCCAAGACTCTGCAAAAGATCACTTACTTCCTCAGGTGCTGTCTGACATGTGATAATGGCATCCAGGAACTCATAGAGGTACTATAAACAGGAGAACAAAACATTAGCCCTACCGTCTTGATGTGAGTTCGGACAGATATGTCAATATGCATGAGGCAACTATGCAATTATCATCTGGTGTGTTATTACTTGCACATGCCTTATGGCCAGGGGAATCAATCAATGTGGACGTTATTATTGGAACGACTATCTGGGCTAATAAAAAGTGGAGACTTGTATATACATGATTTAATTTTTATAAAACTAATAGTGCAAATACAACGAGGCTGATGAGAAATAAAACATGAAATTGCTACAAAATAATTCTGCCTTACCGGTGTGAGAAACTTGTAAGTGAGATGAGCATTTTCCGCCAAGACATCTGCAGCGAGGTCAAAGTACTATAGACAACAAAAGCAACAACAAAACCCTCATACACCTCTTAAAGAAAAATTTAAAAGTTTCTATAAAAGCTAAAGTGCATAATTTATATGCTACTACCAAACAGTTTCCTGAACACTAAGAACTGTTATCAATGAAGCACACTAAACTCATATTTACAGTAAAGCAATAGTAAGTTGCCAAAAGTGACAGGAGGAAAGGGGTTTTGCTGAAGGAGAAAAGCAAGTTTCTCAAAACCCTCTGTGGGCTTGGTGTCCATGTTCATTAGGGCCTGGTTGTGAAGAGTGACTGGATCCAGCTCCTAAATGTAAAAAAAAAAAAGAGAGAGACACTTACAATGGACATAATCATTAACTCTTTGGTTGATAGACTTTAAACGATCATTATATGGGCCAACTTCCAAATGTAAAAGCATTTCTTACACATAGAAAGAGAGTGAGGGAGCAAAATACGCTAATTAACAAATTATTGACTAATTAACTAAAAACTATCAAATGTATACATGGTAAATAATTTCAGCTCTACATTCTGTTCCACTAGAGACCTGCAGATGGCTACGTTTGCTTGTCCATTTCTTCAGAACAGATTTGAGGAATTCCATCTATGAATAAACTTAAGACTTCAGCATGGAGGGTTGTCTATCTGTAAACTACCATTAAAATGGCACTGTATCATTGTTACTTAAATCAAATAAATAAGCACATGTTGTCTATATATAGGCCCTCTTTTAAGGAAATTATATAACCCTGTAAATATAACTTTGCACAGTACCCTGAATTCTTATTTAAATCTGGTACATTCCTTGCGCTAGTCCTAGCTGTTTAAAAATACCTGCCCTGCGGGAAGAAACAGTGTATTTAATGAGTGCTTATGTAAGATGGATCACGGTTTGTACTCATTAACTTCGAGGTGCCAGCACAAACTGGCACAGAGACATGTCCCTGCAGCCCACCATCATTCCAGCCAGCAGGTGTGGGCTTACCATCTCTCACAATACAAACCCCAGCAGAAAAGGATTAAACCTGCACCGGAATCTCAGACTCAAACACAGCAAATTCCCAGTGCATAATTACAGGCAATCTGGTAAGGATTTGAGAAAATTAAACTTGTATTGTACTTTTAAAAGCCAGTAAAACTGACTAGGTCATTTTCTTTCTTCTGAAATGGACGGCACATGGTCTGTCAATATAGGATAAAAGTTCGTCAAATGTGCATGTGAACTGGCATGCCTATGACATTGATTCATAAGAAGATATCCTGCAAGACTGAGCTCGCTCAGATCAAACAGCATAACTAATGAGGAAAATATTCTCTTGACAGGCATCTGATCTTATTCGGCAGCCTTTGTTTGCTGCATTGCTATAGAAATGAGAAAACAGAACTCAGGAAAGATTTTAGAGCAAAATCACCTGGAAATATACTGGAATAAAATAGTAATGAGATATAAACACATTAACAGGTGCTTTTAGTGATCAAATTACAATCGGACAGCACATGAATACATTAAATGCCAAGTGTAAATGGACCTAAAATGATAAGATTGTGATTTGATCACTAAAAATAAGTTCGAAGGTGGTTAGAGATGGTTTCTGATTTCATTTCATTAAGAATAAATGTGACAAGGTGTAAATGCTAATGCATTTTGATTAAGCAATATATAATTATTACGCTGATTAAGTAATATATAATGAGGTTGTGCTACAAATAATAATTATCCGTCACTTTGATGGACTAGGTTATAATCATAACCATAACCTCTTTTTGTTCTGCTTGCACAATGCGAATAAATCAACAGACTCAATTTAATGAACAATATCTCATGTATTATTTCAATGAACTACACTTACAATCTCTCATTTCTCTCCCCAATTCCTCAGTCATGTCTCCCTCCTGGTGTTTTTGCGGGGGCATTTTAAAACTTTATTTTCTTCTTTTTTCTTCATATCTAATCCCTATTTGCATCCCTTACTTTTAAGCAGGGAAACACAATAGACCAGACAGATTATTTGTTTTATCTGTCGAAATGACAAAACAAGCATTTTGAATCCATTGTTGTTTTAAAAACTCTGTAGATGGTAGAACATTTATGGTTAAAGCAATCTCTGATGCAATACATGAGTGCCATTCCATTTCGAATGGATAAGTGAGAGACATTTGAATGCAATCCTACTAAACAATATCAAGATTCTATCTGGATACAAAATGCATGTGAATGCAGTGTCAAGGGGAAAAAAGTGTTACCACAGAGGTGAAATTTTTAGTACCTCTTCTGATCTGGGGGGCATGTCAGTCAGTGCTTCTTGTGCTGCAACATCTGCAAACAAAAAAAAAATAAAAAAATTAGATATATGAGGCCATAATCACTGAATTACATTAACTGAAGTTCAATAGTAGCCGTTACAGTAGGCAGTCAAAACAAAGCAGTGTATCACCCCAGGCTAAATTATGCAGAAAGCCACTGAGCAAAACATAGTCTGTGCTGCAGACTTCATGCTTAATGCAATGCCACTAGGAATTAGGGCTGCACGATATTGGAAAAAACTCACATTGCGATATTTGGTTTTTCTGCGATATATATTGCGATATGAAAAATAAAATCTATTATAAAAAAAAATAATAATCAATGATTGGGGTGATTTTGTAGCTGAGTAAATCAGCATAGGAAATAAACAAATTACAAGCATAGATAAATATAATAGAACAAAGATACAAATGAAATAAACAGTGCTTTTTATTTTTAAGGCAAGTCTAACAGTATTCAGGCACAGAAATGTAATAATCAAATGTAAAATAACACTGCATAGTCTTCACTGTATAAATTAAATCTAATAAATCTGTGTTAAAGCTACAAAAGTGATTTTTCTCTGTGTTTTGTATGATTAACATGACACAGAAACAGGGTTGGGGAGTAACGGAATACATGTAACGGCGTTGCATGTAATGTAATCTGTTACAGTTACATCAAAAAACAAAGTATTTACATTTTGTAAAAAGTGGGAATACTATCAGGATTACATTTGTTTAATTTAAAATTAAATAAATGAGTATTTTGACATAAAGCTATATATTTAGCGCTGCTTCATCATAGTTCCCTGAACAGGCCTCAAATATAGGCCCTAGCCCGGCCCGTGTCCGACAGCTTATCAGAATTACCGGCCCGAGCCCATCTTTTTTCCCCCTTCTCCCAAAACAGCTTATACTACTTCAGCTATTAAAATTATTCAGTTTTGTATGTAATGGCAAAGTGATTATATTTCGTTTAGTTTTTTTATTAAGTTAATTTAGAAAAACGTTTGGAGAATTTTTTGTTCGTTACACAAGTTTTTTTTTTTTTTAAGTAACGACCAAGCGGTACTACCGCGGTAGCACGTTCTCGTGTTGTTTCCACCAGCGCTGCAATTTTTTTTCATCACTAATTGATGGATGTCTAAAATATAAAAATAAGGAGAAGCCTAAAACAGGCCCGAGGCCCGGCCCACGTCTGAACTATGACGTGAAAATTGGCCCGAAGCCCGGCCCTAGGGGTGTAAAAAAGTCGGGGCCCAACGGGCCCGGCATGAAATTGGTTCTGTTGGTTCTGGTTCTGTTGACACATGTTGACTCACGTGAGCCGCCTGCTGGTGCGTGCGCAAATAACACCCATCTACAATTATTCTCCTCAAACACAGGATGAATTAATTACGATGCTTCCTGCTGGGAAAAACGTTTTCATGTCTGGAAATTTCAGTTATTTTGTTTTCAAAGAGGATAAAGGAAATAACATAGTTGTATAGTGTAAGCTATGCATGAAGACTCTTGCTTTAACAAAGGCTACTTAACCAACTTGAACATTTGCAGGTACGAGTCCGACTAGCATGGAAATCATCATGTTAGCTAAAATTTAGTGTTTGTTAGTGCTTTAAAATTCCATGGTGTGCATGACTGCAGTTGTAAATTTTCTAGCGGAAAATGAGCCAGAAAATGTAGAAATTAACATGAGAGTCCCCACACTCCAGATCAGTCAGTGAAATAAAGAAAGATAGCATTTCACATGCATTTCAACATGTAGGCTTATTTTAAAATAGACTAATATGTACATGGTGTACATTTTTTAATGTTGTGTATAAACTATATTTATTTTTACTTGTACATGTTAAATAAATAAAAAAATAAATAAAATGGTAATACTAAACTGCATAGCCACTAGATGTCTGCATAGCCTTTTTATATAAATATACGGGCTGTAATATCTAGAGGGTGAAACAAGACACGATTTTTAATAGTTTCAAATAGTTTTTACTATAGTTTTTATTAGTTTTAATTTTAAAGTCATAGTTAAATAAAAGTAGGCTAATTAGATATTGCTTTTTTGACTTATTTACATATGTAACTTGAAGTAATCCAAAATTAATCAGATTACATTACTTTTATATTGTGGTACTTGGATTACGTTACTGAATACTTTTTTAATGAAGTAATTTGTAACCGTAACGGAATACATTTTAAAAGTAACCCTCCCAACCCTGCACAGAAAGCAGCAGGAACATTGAACTGCTGTGAATATATTGTTATCCTCTTTCTTTCTTAATTGTTTACCTCCACCTAAGCCATAAGCAACTGTTTTTACAAGGATACTTACAGAGACATGCATTTTGACATAGTTTCGTGCGTATGTGTTATTTCAGGCACAAATAGTAGTGGAAGTGAACGGAATTCAGAGTTCATGTGCATCTGCGTGGCTCTCACCATGTCTACAACGGACGCGAGCAGCACGGCGCGACGCAACAAAATACAATAGAACCCATTATAATCAGTGATGCTGTGTGACTGACTACACTGGTGCAGCGCGACACGACAAATCCCCGACAGTAAACTGATGCCTCCTTTTATTTATGACGTACTGACACAAAGTTCAAATGATTTGCAAAGGTCACTTTGTCGCGTCCAGTGTAGACAGACTTTGGGGCTGTTCAGATGGCGCCCCTAAAAACGCGTGGAAAACACCAGCCGCGCTGCTTTCTCCTTCTTTAGTATAAATATAACGATCAGTATACTAAACATCGCACATCCTGCGATGTGACTATCGTGGATTCACACATCGCGATATCGATGCTGAAACGATATATCGTGCAGCCCTACTAGGAATCCTGGAAGGTCACAGATTCTGCTAATGGATTTGCGGTATATCATACGCTATGAATAAATAGAGTTCACTTCAAAAGCACATGATAGGAAGGCGCCTAAGTCAAACATCAGGTCGGGTGGTTGATCTATACTTACAGTTTTTCAGCTGGTATTCAATAGCTGCTTTCAGATTAAAGGCTTCAATCAAAGCAGTTTCATGAAGGACAAGGGTGTTGCCAACACTTCTTACATCAATGCCTTCTGTTGTCATTCCAATACTGAGCTCTATGGACATAAGAATCACTCACTGAAATTCACTCTATAGGATAGCAAATCTTGCAACACCTAAAGGATTTTCTGTTACAAATACCTGGATGCTCTCTGATTCCACGCTCAATCATTTCTGCAATATATTTGAGTGCTGAAGCATACTGCTTTAAACTGTAGTAACAAAGTGCTATATTGTAGGCCAGATCTGTAAAAAAACAAAACAAAAAAAAACAATCAGACAGAGTCCAGCACAACTAGTTTTGGAAAACATCACAGTGTGTCAAAAGGTCTCCATTCCCACATTCATTTCCATTAAAAAAAATCTAAATTACTACCCTTACGCAGTGTGGTCAACCAGTCAATGTTATGTTTGTAACTCTTGGCAGAACAGTTTCTGGGAGACACCAGTGTGTGTGTTTGTCTGTTTTGTCTATTAAGCTCCTGCATGTAGACACCACAAACACACACAGCTATAATTCAATGGAACCAGTACTAAAGAAGTTCATCCTCACCTGGCTGGTAGCCCAGTACATTCATGGAGGACATAAACTTTATGCAAGCCTCTTCATACTCGCCCTCCTTATAAAGCAAACACCCGAGATCCACATCATAGTCTGGATCATCCTGAGGCAACTGCTCAACCAGAGTCTGGAGAAGCAAAACCAAATATTCCAACAAAATAGAACAGTCTAAAAACAGTTGCTCATGCCACATTCTGTGCTCAAATGGTGATTCATTTTCCACATGTGCCATAGCTCAGGGTTCTTACGGGATGTTTCATGTATACTGTGGCTTTAAAAAGCATTCGGACACTTAAAGGGATAGTTCACTCAAAAACAAAAATTCTGTAATCATTTACTCACCCTTTTATTAAATTACTAGTTATTTTAAAAAGAAAAAGAAATAAGATTCAACATAAGAACTTCTTTTCAAGATTTTCACAAAGAACATTAAAAAATATATATTTCTTAAATAATTTTCCAAATGTGTTTCATAGAAGAAGTAAATTGTGGTTTGTGGTTTAAATTGTGGTTTAGAATGTCATAACGGTGAATACATTTTGTCTGAAAGAAAAATGCTGGTACCTTTGCACCTGAAAAATCTTCCTCTCCATATGTGATGGCAGCTTGAAGTTTAATCATCTGTTTAGAAATGGGATGAATAATAATATTTATTTTTAATAAATATTTATTTTTATTTACACATACTTATTACTTACATATATTTACTGTATATTATAATGGGAAAAAAACTGCAAAACAGTTTTAAGGCTGGTACATTTTCTTAATTCACCATTTTTTTGCAGATGTGACTAAATGTAAGGTTTATCCACCTTAGTATGACTAGTTGTGCTGTCCAAGAGAAAAGTAGCTTTCATGGCCTCTGGGAAGGCACACGCTCCATACAGAGACTGGGCATAGTAAAGTTTGTAGTCCTCGACCTCTGGATGAAGCTGCGTCAGCTGTTCATAACATTCTGCTGCATTAGTGAAGTCCTGCATGTGGTAGTAGCAATAGCCTAGGAGAGACAGAGCAGCCCTGGACTGGACATAAAGAGAGAGACTGTCACATAAAATAGAAATTATATATATATACACATACATATATCCGTTCATTAAAAATTCCATTATTGTTTTAAAGTTCAGCCCAGGACTGGTCATGTCACATAAAACGAAATTACTGTACATATTATTTCTTATCTAGGCAAAGAGAGATATATCCTCTAAATAATTACACTAATTTTATAATTTAAATGGCTAAACTGCGATTTATTCGAGTTATTTGTGGTTTGGGTTCTTTTCCTTAACAGCAGAAAACACCATTTTAAAGCACAGGTCGTTTATTGATTGATTCAATGTAAAGAATGAGTTGAGTTATGACTGCTGTAACTTACTTTATTGTGTTTCTGATGTTCTTTGCTCAGAATATTAATTGCGTCTCCATATCGTCCTTCTTTGATCTTATAAAGAAAGAAAAAAGGATTAGTAAAAAGCCAATCATTTCGATAAAAAAAGAAAATCGTTTTGCTAAATGTGCGAATGCAAGCAAACAACATAAGACCAGTGGTAACTAAGCTAGCCTGTTAGCTTGTACAGCTAATAACTCACCATTTTGTACACGGTGGCTGTGTATTCGCCGTCTTTAATCGTTGTTAGCGGCATTATTGAACTCAAATGCTACATAAGCAAATGTAAATAACGTCAAATTTAATAAAGCTGAATACGTATCCCTCTGTGTTTTCAGAGACACGACGCAGACATCCTGTCTCTTAGCAACCGTCCCAGAAACGGATGTGACATAATTATTATACTCTCTCTCTCTCTCTCTCACACACTCACACACACACACACACACACACACACACTAATAGTAAAAAAATACACAAACAATGTTCTCAAATTTGATTTATTTCACGTGGAAATGTTGGAACACTTTAAAAGTGCATGCTAACTTTACTGGTTACTAAACAAACTAAAATCATATTAAAACAGTATCTTTTTAAGCATTACATTACACAGTCACAAATGAGCAAACAAATTCTTACAGAACTCTTTGGACCTCAAGGAAGAGTTTGAAATTCAAACCATAGTGGCTTGCTCATACAAGCCAAGGGTTTGGAAAAGATGTGTGTGATGGGGGAATGTTTTAAAACAGGAGGGAGTGTTCTTCAGTCTTGGGACAGACTGGTGGAGCAACCGAGACACAGAACTCCAGGAGCACTTTAAAGAGCACACCAAACTCTCTGACTGGTATGTAAACATGGATATTTCAATCTACATACTTTCATAATTCCAAAAGTGTAGGTTATTTAAGCTGATTATGTATCAGTGTAAAGATTTCATATATGAAATGCATTATATATATATTATTTCTTGTTTTTATTCTATTTTCACATGCACGTTGTTTTAAAAATGTAGCTTTCTTACAGACCATGAAGAAAATGTCATGCACAGCTATCAGGCAAGTCGGCACAGATTTTGCCCTGAAACCAAATATGGTCTATATGCACCAATATTATTTTTAGGATTAAGATTAATAGTGTGTTTAGTAGCACAGGGCTTGATTTATCTCTCAGTAAGCATACATCATCTGCTTAAAAAAAAAACACACAACAAATTTCTTGTGTGTGTGCGCACACCTGGTGTATAAAGCTAATGCTGATTCTGATTCTGATTCTTAGAGAGGAAAAGACCAGGGCAGTCATTTCAACATTTTCAAGGGCAAAGTTTCAGTAATTACACTTGTAATTTCTGCATGTACTTGTGCAGGAAACTTAAAGAACCAGAATGAGTTTCAGGGTGGGCCTGTTGTTCCTGACCATGACTGTGGTCGTAGTCTGTGGTCAGAAGAGACGCCTTGCAAAAGAGGAGTGGAACTACCGTGATGGCTGTAAGTGGATCTGTGTCTTTTTGTTTAATAAAACAAACACTAGCTGATTTATGCATTAATGTTCTTGCTGATATGTTATTAAGGTTTCAGAATTTTTTGTTCAGATGAACCTGAAATATACTGCTAGATAATATTACGGTAGCAATTGATAAAAATGTCAATGATATTGCTTTTCTGGTCCTCAGCTGAGAGAGTAAGCATGCGAGGAGTTGCAAATCTGACTCAAGTGCTTGATGACTGGAGGTTTGACATCCTGAATCAAGTAAAAGGACTCCTGCAGAACGACCACCAGTCCTTGCTGCCTGACTACTCCAGGTACACTTTCATGAGGTTCAATGTGTTCATCAAACTCTCAGATTCAGGCATTCTTCCTTTCCGCAGACAGAAAACAGCAGGAACACAACGTTGTTATTTTGGTATCTGCAGCTATGTCAAAATGTGGACTGTGTTCTTTCAGAGCAGAACATTTCATTATGCTGGTAACTTTGCAAAATATTTTATGTGCTTAATGGGGAACTTCCTGGCTCCTTATGGTTTGGAATCTAGTCATCTTCATATTCCTCAAAGCTATTTGCCAACCAGTGGCTGCGCTATACCGTGCTGCTCTCATATTTCTTTCTCTCTTTAACTCTTCCCAGGATCCAACCTCTCTCTGAGGCGCTGGATGACTTGTACAAAGAGTTCAATGCCCTGAAAACTCATCTTGGTGAGCTGACCGAGAAATTTGGACCGTTGGAAACCTTCGTAGATGAACTGAAGGCCGAGAGAGCCAGTGCGAGCGCAGCACCTGCTTACCCCGTGCGCAGACGGGTCATTAAGAAGACGCCTGTTGTCTCCTAAATGGCCGTGTTTGAGTAGAGCTGGATCTCTCCTAACATCAAACCACTATGATATAGATTCCTTTAGCAGCCTTTCCTTGAGCTTCTCACTCTTTTGGCATCATGTTGCTGCATGTTGCTGGGAAACAGTAATAAACAATATGCTGAACATTGTGAATGTCCCTCCATGTGTTTTGGGTTGTATCTAAAAGCAGCAATTTAAATGTGACAGCTAGCTCATAATTAACATTGCAAAAAATAATGGACACAGCTGTAACCACAGGTCTTTATTTTTAGAATACCTTCCATTGCTCCTAATCAAAAAGAAACAAATAGGCATTTGTTTATCAGTATAAGAGTATTACATTTAGCTGTCTTTAATCCTGTTGTTGGAATTAGTCTGTATGAGTATATTCAAATATATATGACTGTCAGTGAATTGATATGTGGTATTTGCAGCTCTCAAAATGATCAATGGCTTGTTCAGGTATAAACTGATTATGTACAAGCTAAGAACATTTCAGGAACACAATAAATTGTGTTTTTCATTGTGTATTTATGCTTATAATCGGATGAGCATGGTAATTAGATGCTGAATATCTCTTGGCTCATATTTGCCATCTCATGCAAGCTTTAATACATTCAGTCTGTTGCATTCACTTCTAAGTTTCGGTGTGTTAGCTAACTTTTGACATAATTAGCTTTGTGCATAATAGTTTGGTGTTTGTTTTGTGAAATAGTCAGCCAGCTTTCATTATATCTGTGTTTGTCTCATCCCATTTTCTCAGTATCTCACAAGCTTATGAGAAGCTATCTATCTATCTATCTATAGAGTTTTTCTGCAAGCAAAATTCAAGAACACCAGGCAGTAGTAGAAGAAAGGTCAATTTTTTACTTTGCACTGTTTATACCATACTTTATGGCCAGTGATTTGGTAATATAATGTCTTCTGTAGCACTTTATTACTATAATTCAAAATGTACTCCCTCATTAAAACAGATATAAAAATAAGAGGCAGAACTTATTGACTCTGTCACAGTTTCAATCTGAGCTCCACAGTCAACAGCAGAACTGCATATGCAGTGGCCCATACAAGTATTTGGACACTTTTGGACATCAAAGCCAAATACAATTCATGTTTTTCATTGCATAGATCAAAATAGAATGGTTTTATATTTTGTTATATAATGCAAATACATTATTTCATTTGTAATTATGTCTAAAGTGTTAAAATTTTAGGCGCTACAAATATTGTACACACACATCGCCTTGTTTATGAAACTATTTTTGTATGAAAATTGTTCATAAACTCTTCTTACATAAATTGCTGCAGTCAATTCAATGCACTCATGTACATTCATCCAATAATTTATGTAAGCATAGAAATGCAACTGATTTACACACAAATTCTATTTGTGTTTCAAAAATGAGGCCCACAGACCACAAACTGTGACGCATAAATGTGACCACCAGGAGGAAATACAATGTTATGTCTCTCTGTGGGTATATATTAAAAAGTGGTTAGGACACTGTGGTCATGAAGTCATGTACAGCTCAAATAATCCAAGTAATTCCAGAGTTACCATGCCACATCTTTTTATGTGTTATATCATCTGTGTCCTAGAGGAACACCAACAGGCAGCATAAGCAAAAGATATTAAAATAGCTATGTTCACAATGTACACTCGATGACGGTCACATAACATAAGTCATAAATCTCAGAAGGAAGTCTCTTACATCTTTGAAGATTTCTGAAGCATCACACTCAACGGAGGGCAGAAAATGTGTTACACAGCCTTACATTGTATAATCATCTCTTATTCCCATAAGTATCTTGAGCTGTAAATTCATTTTCATGACTGTAATCCGTCACTGGTGCTTTGGAATTTGAAAGTTATTGAAAGACTTGTGTGCCAGTATCAAGTATCATCCTTTGTTGCTCATCCACATTAAATCATTATTTTACAGAACATTCAGTCTTTTACTCACCCTCATGTTGTTCCAAATCTGTATGACACAAACGGAGATGTTAGGAAGAGTGTTCATGCTGCTCTTTTCTGACAGTGAATGGGGACTGGTACTTTCAAGCACCAATAATGACAAAAAAGAACAATAAAATCATACTAAAAGTAGTCCATTTGTGTTCCACTGAGGAAAGCAAGTCATACAGATTTGGAACAACATGAGGGTGAGTAAATGACAATATTTTCATTTTTGGGTGCACTATCTGCTTAAAGGGGTAATATTTATGCACCAAGAGCTTGTAACACTCCAAAGAGAAAGGAAAAATTGAAATCGCATCATATGACCCCTTTAAGAATGACTTCGTAAGTATGGAGCCAGAATGATCTCAATAATAATTCACGCAAAAGACATTTTGAATGTTAAAAATTCACGAGTTTATCATGGGCTGTGAATGTGAATCGCTCTGGATTTGTGTGTGAATTTTGAGACTGTCCTGGCAGCAAACTCCTCCCATGCGGGACACTCGTACTCTTTAGCCAATCAGATTTTGAGCCTGTCAGTCGACCAATCATAACCCACTGTGGGCGTATGAATCTGGGAAAAAAAGAGAGTCAGCTTCATCTGAAGTCCTCTCAAGGGTTGGCCTCATCTCTTCACAGGTGTTGGGTCATCTGAAGTCTTCGTGAGGAATAATCTAATAATAATCTGTTTTAATGCACAGGGTAATTTGATTAGCTGTGCTGATAATATACTATTTTGTTCTATAACTGTCTTACCTTTTAAAAGTTCATCACAGCGGTCTCTTCTGCTGCATCTCTACGGCGCTGATAGTATGAGCGCTAACTTTCGGGAACTATTGAGCGGCCCCACGATCCGCCATTGCTGTAAAAAACTGGTCCATTGGAGTGAACGGAGTTGTTGCAACTCTCTCTCTCTATGGCTCTGGGCGTGCCTACCTGGATACTGACGTAAAAGTAAAATTGGTCGTTTAGACACTCAATAATGTGAACAATGTAAGCCAGCGGTGGTCGTTTAGACACTCGCTAACATGAACAATGTAAGCCAGCGGCTGCTGTTTAGAGTATTATGATTTAATATTGATA